CACACACACACACACACACTCACTCACTCACTCACTCACACTCACACACAAGCATGCACGTACACACTCACAGACACAGGCACGCACGCACACGCAGACACACACACACACGCAGCACACAGACACACACACACACGTCAAACACACATAAACAAACACATAAAAAACACGCAAGGGCTTTCTACGATCACACACACACACACACACACACACACACACACACAAGCATGCACGTACACACACACACACAAGCATGCACGTACACACTCACACACAGGCACGCACGCACGCACGCACACGCAGACACACACACACACACACCTTGTGCAGTGAAGTGCGCTCCACCAGCTGGAAGGGGGCGGGGTCAATCTTGCAGCTGTTGAAGTTCACCTGCTCGTCCATCTGTTGCTCCTCCCACTCCTCAATCTGCATTCACAGCCAGAGACGGTTTATTGACTTTATTTACTTTTTTAAAAATTCTTTAATGTCATCAATTTTATATTTCTTCGTCAATGACTCTGTATTTGTTTCTATGTGTGTCTGTACATTTAAATTTTTCTCATTATAAACATTGTAAATATAGCAATTAAAAAAATATTGTAATATGTAAATATATGGTAATATGCTTTGCAGTTTGTCCAATTATATACATCATGAATATAATACATAAATACATATACACATTAATGTACTTAAAAAAAAAATATATATATATTAATGTACATTTAGAGCGCTATACTTTATAGTCAAATACACTATTTTTTAAAATTATGTTATTTAGCTTTGCACTATTAATACATATTAATAAATATTATGCACACACAAATATTCAATAGTAAATATAGCAAATATGCACTATTAATAAATATTATGTAAATATAATATCCACCATTAGTAACCATAGCCAATTACATTATGTGTATATCTATATTTAGAATGCCATTCTTTATTATCAAGATTGAACTTACATTTCAGCATAGAAACCAATACACTATTGACAATAATTGATGAAATTTTACTGTGTATTATATATATATATACATAGTTATTTTTGTTGTGATTTCAGTTTTGTTATCTGAAGTACATCACTTATTAAGAGTAAAAGGATTTGCACTATTTAGATTTTTCAACATTAAAAATATAGCATTTAAATGTTTTTATTTTTAAATTAATGTACAATTGGAATGCTATACTTTACATAGTGCGTCATAGTACCTTGGCATAAAAAAAAAGTTAATTCTAGTTCATATGTAACTAGCTGTGAGGGTGTTTCTAATAGAATGGCTGAGGAAGTGATGGTTAATTTGACATTTCTGTAATCAACTTTTTTCTCACAATTCTGACTTTTTTTCTCAGAACTGCGAGGAGATGATAACATGCAGTTCAGGGAAGAAAAGCCAAAGTTGTGAAATAAAAACACTCAACTGCAAGAACAAAACAAAACAAAAAAATTCTGAATCATGAAATAAAAAAGTTGCAAAGTTTTTATTCTGCGGTGCATCTGCAGTTTCCTCCGCTGACCGGTTCGAAACTCATAAATAAACATATGCATCTTGTAAGAAGTAAAGCGCACGCAAACTTATTGATCTTATAATAAAACATATGCATCACTGCACTGCGTATGTGAGCAAGATATCTTTGGATCTGATTGAGACGATAGTCCTATTCAAGTTTAAATGCTTAGTTTGTTCGGATCATTTTAGGTGTGCATCAGCACTTTCAATCCGATCGAGCTGAATCAGATCAGTCGAGGGTTTTATATGAAGGCTTTACAAACGGATTATTAGTGTGCATCTACACATTTTATGAGAGGTTTTCACTATTACAGCCGCAGTGTCCTCACCTCGCCAAGAGTCATGTCATCGTCTGCGTCTGGATCCTCCTGAAACACACACACACACACACACACACACACACACACACAGATGAAGCGCTTTGCAGTAACATTACATAAGAAACATGACAAGCCTGAATACAAATACCCTCTTTCCAGAAACTTGCAGGCTAAAAAGACTGTGAATAGAGAATTTACGGTACTCTATTTGTCCTTTTCACATCTGAATTTGTTTGGGTGTGATATACGAGTGTGTGTTGATGGTTTGTAATGCTAGTATGTTGTGTCGTCTGATCAATATCTCTGAGCGCCACTTTGGCAGTCGACAGATTAGAGTTCCTCTTCCTCCCTCTTTATCTCTCTCATGCTAAATTTAATCGATGAGATCAGCCTGCAGTTGCACTTTTCTCTGTACAAGTATATCACACACACACACACACGCACTCTCTCACACACACACACACACACTCTCTCACACACACACACACACACTCACTCACTCACTCACTCACTCACTCACTCACACACACACA